ATCATAAACAACCCCCGTTTAATGCAACGATAACGTTAATGATGTCCATTAACGGGTAATCAACAGCTGTGAGTGAAAATCTTTATCACAGATTTCTCCCCGCCTCTTCCCCCTTCTCTTTATCTATTTCTTTTACTATTTGCTTCCCCTCTCCTTCTCCCCTTTATCCGTTTCCGAATTTTCGTCTACCCTCACCACCCTCCAGCGTAATTATAGTACCCATTTCCTCTTCAAAAACAAACGTTCACGGGATCCACCAAAGAAAACAAAATTTCACCGTATAATAACTATACACAGTAGACATTACGCAAGGGTTAGGAGGATGATTGACTCTCACAATTACTGCAGAGATCGCCCCCCTCCCTGATGGCATGACGAGGGCGGTGGGCGCAGCGATGTTGTGACTCCTCCGACCCGCAGCTAACAACTGGGAGAGAAACTGCGCCAAAACATCCCTCTTTCCGTCAAAGGTCACTCAGGACAAACCCTGTAACGATAGCCTTTTCCTCGTTTAACCTTTACAAAGCGGATAACTTAATACTACACAGGCGAGTGGCGTAACGTCAGGGCCAAGGCTCGAGAAAATGGAATTTAACCGCCTATGAGGGTCATCTCGCTGCCATTCCAGCCACATAAGGCCTAATTCAAGTCCGCAATCAGACGTCACAATAATTTGCAAGGGGGAGAAGGCCGGCGACGGATGGAACACCGGCACTGAGCCGATGTAATCGCCGCCACTTTCCCAAACTGGGAGCCACTGGTTTACCGGATAATCACGTGGGTTTGGAGTAAGTTGAATTGGTTGAAGGTGGAACGAAAGTTTGTCTTCACAGACAAAAACGAAAGATGAAAAATATAATAGTAACTATTATTACCTTAGCAACCGTTTATTGAAAACGAAATACTGCAGTTATATATCCATTAAATACTTTGTGTAGAATTTTCCTCTGTTTACATGTCCTGCTGTCACTACATACTTCAGGCATTTTTATAAGTATAACAGAATAACCGATACTAAAGAAATGCATATATATTAATGTTTTTTTTTTTTTTTTTTTTTTTTTTTAACGATAGAATCATAAAAATAATATATTTCAGTTGAAATCTAAATTAAACATATTTAAAACTATAGAGTTATAAAGATATTACTAAAAATAGAGATTGATTAGACTAGAGTTCAAAAACTAAGTAATTAAATGCAGAATTACACCATATCATATATATATATATATATATATATATATATATATATATATATATATATATATATATATATATATATATATATATATATTACATGTATGTACATATATGTATATATATATACATATATACATGTATTCATGTATTCATGTATATATATATGTATATGTATGTGTGTGTATATATATATATATATATATATATATATATATATATATATATATGTATATATATATATATATGTGTGTGTGTGTGTGTGTGTGTGTGTGTGTGTGTGTGTGTGTGTGTGTGTGTGTGTGTGTGTGTGTGTGTGTGTGTGTGTGTGTGTGTGTGTGTGTGTGTGTGTCTGAAGGACGACAAGGTCAGACCAGTGAAGTGTTCCATAACGGCAGAAACAAGTTTTGACATTTCTACCACGGAACAGGGCTTGGCTCTTGTCAAAGGCCACGAAACATGCAGCACTACAACTCAGACAAAGATATACAAGCAAGCTAGCAAGTCTGAGCAAGGCTATCTAGAACAAGTTTGTGACGTCAGGATGCCCACAGACGGAAATACCTACACAGAATATGTACCGCCAATACCTGCAAAGGAATTTGGGATTATATTCATGGTGTAGATGATTTCAAATTACAGCTTTACAGGGCGAATCTATCTCAAGGGAACTTCGATTTTTTTTTTTTTTTTTTTTTTTTTGTACAGTAGAGCAGTGTACTCTCTATAATAATGATAATCCTCAAACCATTATCCCGTCATCATTTAAAAAATTGTCGTTAAGATGGAATAATAAATGTAATATATAATAGAAAATGATGCATTAGATTAAGAAGCCAAGATTATGTATACGTTACCACGAGAGCAAAGGAACTTCCCCAATTCCTTCGCCACCGCTGTGTCCCCTCTTTCTCAAAATATTCGAATTCCCAAACGCCTTTAAGTACTTGATAGAGAGAAGAAGGGAAAGAGATGGTAGAGACACAACTTCAAGATTTTCTCTCCTTCACAGGACGGATATTGAAATTATTTTCAAGTTTTAAGGACTCATTTACATTCACGCTATGCTCTTATGTGTGTGCGTGTGTTTGACGTTTGTTTGTGTTTTGGCGTGTGTGTGTCCAGACCAATGTCTATGAATATGGACAAATGAAGAATATGGACTTACTTCTCTGTTCGACCGAAAAGGCCATGCTTGTGTATCAGTTTCTGTCAAAATAAGAAAATCACATTTACTTTTTTCTCTCTCTCTAATGTGCGTCCGTTTGCATCAAATGAGACTGATCTGCCTACATTAAAATGGCCTCGCACTCCTGAATCAGATCAATCAGATAATAACCCTTGATAAAACCGACAGCGTAATAGAAGCAAAAGGTGAAAGGAGGTTATTGACATAAGCGAAGGGGAAATTACACGACTAAGGGGCTAAACTGTCCACCGGCTTTGCTTGATGATTGCAAAACCCATGGAGGCTCTAATGTGCTTCTGATAAATCTCCAATTAAAGGGATTACACCACGCGTGTATTGCGAGGGAAAAATGAACACGATATCGAATAAACAACCCAACCTAATTATAAGTAGCCTGCAATGATTAATTAGCATCTCCCGTCTCCTATTCACACAGGTTTGTATTTAGTAATTTTGTTATTATCGTTATATTACTACTGTCATCATTACCTCGACTAAGGTTATGCTTTGGGTAACGTTGGTTTATCAGTTAGCTAATTGTTTGTTTGTTGGCTGGCTGGGTAACAGAATACCTCAAGAAGATATGAACTGAATGATTTTTTTTCTTTTTTTACCAGAATTGTCTTAGCCTGTTAGATGCCATGATTTTTTTGTGGTGATCCAGATCCAGGGAAATTTTAAATTACGTAGTTACCTCTGTTGCCTTGTCAATACGGTAACTATTATTGTTATTATCACCTTTATTACCTCCTCTAATAAGGTTATGTTTTCGGACCTTACCAGAGTACCTGAGAAAAATGTGATTTTAAAGTAATTCTTTAAGTTTGAATATTTTTTATTGCATCAGTGACCCTATTACTCTGGCGGAGGTATGCGCTCTCCGTGTGCTTCTAATTATCATAATCATTAGCATTGTTACTATCATCATCAACATCCTCATCATCCTCATCACTACTGTTATTATTGATTATACAACAACTTGTGCATCTTACAGCTCTTATTAGAAAGGGAATATCTAGCATAGTCTTATGGAGCTCTTGTAACAAGAAAACTAATTTTTGAAAACGAATAGTAACAATTCGGAAATAACTATTAACAGCCCTTATTGCTGAAAATCTGAAGTATCTGTAAATGTAACCTACGATGAATTCCTGTAACACTTTAGCTCAAATATGACCTTATAACTTAAACACACACACACACACACACACACACACACACACACACACACACATATATATGACAGTAAGCAGATCAAAAGAATAAGGATAACTCTTACTCGGGAATGGCCCTCTTAGCTTTAAATGATTTTAACTTATTAAAAAGATCTCTTAATTCTTTTAACTGAAACATCTTATACTATCAAGTAAAACCCGAATCCTCTGAGTTTTCGCAACCACATGCCTATCAATCATAACTCCTCTAACCCTTAAAAAACTGCCCAACCCGAACCCGAGGAAATTCCTTTGATCTTGATACCTTGGAGAAAAATATCCCGTTTTCCATTCTCACTCCGGCAGCCAGACGAGGAGGAGGGACTTCGGTATTTCCTTTCTGCTGATGAATGCGTTGAATTTCCAAATCTGAGAAGTCATATTAATTTCTCCAGGGAAGCTATTTGCTAAGATGCAGAAGAGAGTTTTTGCAGTCTGGTGTGCGTGTAGGGGTTTTACATTGCTTGTCCTGCAGTTGGATCGACGATGACAATAAATGGTTTGTTTACATATTGTATGGTTACCGTCATCTCTGCCGCGTCGTATTAGTATTACATAAGGATATAAGATAATGATGATGATGAAGATAGTGGATATAATGGTGACTATAATAATAATAATATTGTATAATGATGATAACAATAATAAGTACAATCACAAACTTGATAAGCATCATGTTGCATTTTATTTTTATAACTATTATAATCGTCATTATTGTTATATTTGTTGTTATCGTTATCATTATAATCTTTGTTATTGTTATCATCATCGTTATTATTATTATTAATGTTATTATTATTTTTATCATTATTATTATTGTTGTCGTTACAGTTATAATCATAATAATTATTATCATCATTATGATTATGCTTATCATGATTATTATTATTATTATTATTTTTATTATTATTATTATTATTATTATTATTATTATTAGCTTTGTTATTATTGTTATTATTATTATCATTATTACTACTTTTATTGCTGCTGTTGCTGTTACTATTATAATGTTATTACGATTGTTATTTTTATTATCATTGCTACTGTTGTTACTATTATTTGTTATCATTGCTATAATCATCATTATTATCATCATTGTTGTTATTATTATCATCATCATTATTATATTGATATCATTATGTTGATTATTATCGTTATTATTGTTTACATTAGTATGGTTATTATTATTTTTTTATTATTCATTATTATTATATTATTTTTATTATTTTCAAATTTTTTTTCTTACAATCAT